ATGTTAGTCCACATTGGTTAGCTAAGCTAATTTAAATTCAACACTTTTGAACTATATTTAATTTAGAGAAAATGCAGAGAAAGCCTTTCATTTGTGGTTTTTAATAAGATGAAGAGAGTTAATCAATATAGATACATAGTACAAGTCCCAATGAAAAGCCGGTTGAAAACATACAATTTGTATATCTTGGTGAAACTTACAGTTTCTATTATTTGGGACTCAAAACCAGCTTACATTTAGCCCGAATTTATATGATATGTAAATCCCAATGTGATTGGCTTTTCTTTGCCTGGCTAGTAGTCATTTCCCAGAAAATTATGTTGGAAAATGATTGCTGACAACGAGCAATGCAAGGCAATAATCAAGTTGCCGTCGTCGTCGTCGGTGTCGTTGTCGTTATTTAAGATATTACCACATACAAAACACATTCCTTTTCGCTTTCATTAATGCCTTGCAAATAACAATTAGCTTTCAAAGAAATTATTGTATTACACACAACGATTTAACAATAATTTAGCAAGTTCTTTGAAACAGAAACTATGTCACAGACAGATGGAGCAAACACATATTGTATTTCATAAAACTTCAAAGACAAAGACCAGGAACTTCTAAAGCTTGTAAAGCCCCAAGACCTCTCCACGTTCTGTAAGACCATATATAGTTTGCATAGGAAAGAATGAGGAAACGGTAAACCATTCTTGATAACGGCATCCATTATGCAAATTGAAATCGAAGGAGCCATAACTGGGGCCCCGATCCAAGTGCAATATGGGATTGCTGCAACTGCTGCTGCTTTCGCCGTCGCACTGATTGAATTTATTTTATAACGCTTGCCTCGCAGTTGCAACAGTTAGCCATAGATATGTGTATACACACACCTTTATATGTATATATATTTTATGTGACTTATCTGTGAATCACTACTTCATATGCATAAGAGCCAATCCACACGTTCAGGCATTTGAAAGATGCAATTTGCCATTTGAATTTCGCAGTTGTAGGAAATGGGGATTGTGTGAGTAATTGGCAAAGTAAAACACATTATTATCGGACAATAATGCCAGCCATGGGAAATGAGACTCAGACCTGGTTGTTTTCATCGCAATTATTATTATTTTTTTATTGCAGCTTGGAATGTGCGAATTTGTTTACATATCTTTTGATAAAAGCAGACCTTCAGAGCTTCTTATCTATATATATAAAAATGCTCTGTTCGTGTCTACATCCTTCATAGACTCGAAAAGTTCTGAACCGTTTAAGCACAAATTTTTACACAACATGCGTTGAGGTTCCAGCTCGGTTATTGACTACTTTTGATGTTGATAGCTTATCTGCGGTGGCGAATATATCTATTTTTTTAGCGTTTCCAAGTGCCCCTACTGCTGCGCCATCTACAGGCAGCCAGCTGAATCAAAGCATTTCCTGTCAAACATTCAAAACATATTGAAAGAAGAAACTTGAAAAGTTCTGAACCGTTTAAGCCCAAATTTTTAGAGAACATGCGTTGAGGTTCCAGCTCGGTTATTGACTACTTTTGATGTTGATAGCTTATCTGCGGTTGCGAATATATCTATTTTTTTAGCGTTTCCCCGTGCCCGTACTACTGCGCCCTCTACAGGCAAGTCAAAGCATTTCCTGTCAAACATTAAAAACATATTGAAAGAAGAAATTGGAGATACAAATTTTATTTTTTGTTCAGGTTCAGTAAGAAACGAAGTCATGCCACCAAAAAAGTCGAGATTGGGTCGTTGTATTCGCAATACAGAAGCAAAAAGACGTAAGATTACGAATATGACTGACGAAGAACGGGCCTCCTTCCGAGAGACTGAGCGGCTGAGAGCAATGCATGGGAACGCGTTAATATTGCTCGCAGGGGATTTCAGACAAACGTTGCCTGTGATTTCCCGATCGACACCAGCTGACGAGATAAATGCTTGCCTGAAATATTCTATATTGTGGAAACATGTACGTACATTACAGTTGAAGACGAATATGCGTGTCCAGTTACAGAACGATGACTCAGCCGACGTATTCTCACGACAGCTACTGGACATTGGGAACGGAAAGCTGCCAGTCAATGAGACGTCGAGAAAAATAGTATTGCCCGGAATTTCTGTAATTTAGTTACATCGAAGGAAGAACTTATCCAAAAAGTGTTCCCCAATATCCGAATAAATTATAGGAATCACGATTGGCTCAGTGGACGAGCGATTCTCGCTGCCAAGAACAAAGATGTCTACCAGCTCAATCATGTAATCCAAAAAAGCATAGAAACTGACGAAATTACATATAAGTCGATAGATACCGTTGTGGAGGCAGAGGAAGCAGTTAATTACCCTACCGAATTTCTAAACTCACTTGATCTGCCTGGAATGCCACCACACATATTGAAATTAAAAATAGGTGTGCCGATTATCATGCTCCGGAATATAAATCAGCCGAAACTCTGCAACGGTACGCGACTCGCAGTCAAGAAATTGATGAACAACATAGTAGAAGCGACGATCATAACGGGTCCATTCAAAGGTGAAGATGTCCTCATTCCTAGGATTCCTATGATCCCGACAGATACACCGTTCCAGTTCAAGAGATTGCACTTTCCCATTCGTTTGGCGTTTGCAATGACCATAAATAAAGCTCAAGGTCAATCTCTGGAGTTGTGTGGTCTGGATTTGGATGAAGATTGTTTTTCACACGGACAATTATATGTTGCGTGTTCACGAGTCGGAAAACCAAAAAGTCTTTATATTTACGCGGAGAATGGAGAAACAAAGAATATTGTATACCAACAAGTATTACAGAATTAAATTAATTTGAAAATGATTATTTTTTGTTTGACTTATTTCTTATGCGTTCAACCACAATATGCCACAGAGAAACGTGGCAGTCCATTTGGAGAATGGTCAACGTGTCTATTTCACAGAAAAAAATGTGCAAGAAAGAGTCCTGAATCGGCCAGCGACAACTCTGACTGCCTTCTTCACCTTATGCCAGGAAGATGATTTTGCCAGAACCTTGATGTATTCAGAAGTGCCCTCTTAACCATAATATGCCACAGAGAAACGTGGCAGGGTACAGCTAGTTCATCATAAAAATATGAACTACTTTAATCTAAGAAATGGAAAGGTTAATGTCTGTGACCTCTAGAAAGTTGGAGTTAATTGAGATTAAAATGCACAGTAAGAAAGTTAGTATAGGGTTTTAAGTGTTATGTTTATAGTAGAAACAATTGTTACAAAGTATTTGAGAAAATGTAAGAAAGCGAATTGCAGCATTCATGTCTTTAAGATTTAAAATGAAAGTAAAATATGAAATAAATATGGATTATTTATAAAACTCCCTGAGCCCCTACTAAATACTATATAATATTAATAAAGAATACCAACTTTCGACTTCACAACTTCTCGATTCTTATGGTTTGCCAATGAAAGCTATAGCTTCGTGTGAATAAGCAAATATTTGAATATATAGTAAATACAATATATGTGCACGATATATGAAGTATCTTGGTCGTGTGTGCGATGGCGCAAATGCCAAGCCAAGTGAGTCACGATAATCACTTTTCGAAGCGACAAACACGTACCGCAACGGAATACATATAAGTATTTATATGTTAATCAAAATACAAACACAATGTGTGTATTGCCGCTAAAATACGAATCTTTAGAGTCGTAAAAGAGCGGCTCGAAACGGGTTTTCTGCCTGTTGGTTACTTTGATTCTGCTGTTAAAATACAAACTACACACGAACGGATCCGAGAAACCCAAATTGTTAATATCGCAACCTTTTTTTTATATATATATTTTTGTTTTTTGTGGCCACTGCAATCGAACCCGTGCCCGCACATGCAATGTATGGAGTGCGGTGTGTGCAACGTGCAACAAACCACATTCGAAATGATGTCAGCACATTGAATTAATGTTAACCCGCCCGCCTCGGTGAGATCTCACTTGGTAAGTACCATCACAATGGTAGTCCAGGTTGGGAGATCGAGCTCGAGAGGTGCTCCAAGCTGCAAACTCCGAGCACGGAGATTCCGTGGGATGCGCACGGTCGATCAAATCAAAACCATGTCAATGGAGCCCAGCGAAACTCGGTGAAATAATTGTGGCGGCAGCTTAGTAATCATGGATTTAAATTTCAGTCCAAGATCATCTCAAACTCCTTAACCCACCAAATATAATTGACGATGAAATATAAAAATAAATAAAACCTATTTATAGCTTCTTTCATATCAGTTTGTAATTGTAAATAATGATTTAGATTTCGTAAATAATTCTGATCTTAATTCATTGTGAATTTTTAATATAATACAAGTCAATTCTATTAGGATCAAAATAACATTCATTAAGGTATTAGAGTAATCCTTCTAATTTTAAAATTTAAAATGCATAAGATCGTATTGATTTTTCATTTAAATAAATGTAAGCCCTACTTTCTTGTCTCTAAATCTTTAAGCTCTGCAACACGATCTCTCCTAAACCAAACCCTTTGTTTTTGTTAAACATCCACAAATTGCTTTTCTTTTCGCTAAACTTGTATTCAATATTCATTAGCACTTAATAAATTATGATTTTTTTATGAACATTAGCTTTTTATAGAAAATCATTATAAATTCGCTCATTGGCATGCCCAGCAGCAGTGCCATAAAGCCCCTATCTATTAACGGGAATAGCTTTAAAGTTTAAACTATAAATCTTGCAAATTTATAGGATATCTGTCATTGACACTAAACTCCTAATAAATATCTTAATTTTCCATAATTTTATATTCATAGGTAAAGCTCATTTCAAAATCAGTTAACGTTGAAAAAACTTTCGTATGGTAAAACGCTAAATCAAAAAATTGTCTTCAGTGAAATTTTCAAGACAGTTTAGTTTTTGCATAAATATTTGTGATATAACTTATTCAAGACTTTAAAATATTAACTTTATCATAATTTTAATATAGTATTTTTTCTTAAAGTTTTAATTAATTATTGAATTGTTCAAAGAACTCACCGTTTTGCACTGCGCGAACGCTTTTCGGTCTCCGCCTCCTTGACGCTGTCCCAACTATCGCCAACACCCGATGACATGTCGTCCAGTCGCTCCTCGTCCTCCATGCCTGAATCCTCTAGAGAAATGTGGCAGCTGGTCAAAGTCACCGCTGTTCCATTGTCGCCCACCTCTATCCAATCCGAGGTACGGATACGTTGGGATCTCTCGGTTCCGTAGGGTGAAGAGTCTGTGGAGCAACCCGAGGGACACCGCTTCCTCGAGGTGCCCTCCTTTCCTATGTTCTCTTTCAAAGATTTGTTGACCGAATAAGTCAGGGTATCCTCCTCATCCACATCTCCATCGGCATCCTCCACATTATCCGCATCCACATCCTCGGTATCGGCATCGTCAATGGAGTTGTAGCGAATACGCGAAGCGATCTTCTTGGGTGGCGATGTGGCTACCGGCGACATGGACTTGGTGGGCAGCTGCTCCAGCGAGCAGGATTTATTCCGCATGGCGGCCAGCTCTGAGATGAGCATTTCGTGGAAGGCCTGTTTCTTTTCCGGTGTATTTCCCACGCTAATGGAGCTCTTTATGGTGCTGGTGTAGCTCGGCTTGGGGTCACCGAATTCGGAACCAGAGTTTATGTTGATCCGCATGCAGTTTCCTGTAGACTGGATGGTCAGAACATCGGACTCCTGCTTCAGTGCCTCATGTTTGGTGATGATTGTGGTATCAGCCGCCGCCTGTTTCTGCCCCTGATTTATGATTATTTCAGAGAACAGCCGCTCGGCTGCGTTCTTCAGATTATTCTTAATCTCCACAGTCCGTCCGCCCAGGAATCCTCCTCCTCCTCCGTTTGGCGAGGCTACTGCAGTGGACTCCTTTTGGTAACTGTCCAGCGTGGTTTTGGATCTTCTAAAGAGACCAGTGGATGGAGTAGAGGTTACCTTTGGTACATCCTCCACATCCATGGTGGCCACGGGTAACTGGACAATTTTCCTGGGCCTGGGAAGGGGTTGTGTTGCTGGCTGCAGGCCAGCCCGTTCAAAGTCCACCTTTCCGAGACTCAGCCGGGTCTCCTTGCGGGGTGTGGTCTGAGGGGAGCCCCCGATGACGCTGATCGAATTGTGACGATTCACCGTCACCACCGACGTGGTGACGGTCTCGCGGGGCTTGGCCGTTGGTACATCGGGCGCCTTGCGGAGCTTTAGTGGCTTCACTGGTGGGGTTGGTGCCGGCACCGCTGTGGTTGGCGTCTGCGTCTGGGCCTGTTTCTTGGGCAGATTAACCGTCGGTGACTTGTAGACCAGGGTGCGACCCACCGCACTCAGCTGGCTGACAAAGGTGGGCTTCTTTTGGATGATTGGCGGCGTGGCCGAGGGATTACCCGTTGCCTTGGGCCTGGGCGGCACTGGTGGTCCAGGCCGCTTCACCACCACGGCCGCTGTGGCTCCGGCTGTGGCCATTGGTTGAGATGTAGCTGAAGCTGCACGTTCTCACGCGAAACCAGTATTTTTAGGTCACTTCTCGAACGGCGAACAGCGTACGACGAACAACAACGACTTGGCTTATTTATTATTATTACTTAGCATAGGCGCGCAAATGGGAAACTAGTTTTGCTCTTTGCCGCGGACTAAGTTCTCACATGGCACTGGCATCTCCTCTCGCTCCGATCGGATCCTCTCCTGCTACTGCAGCTGCTCCGCCGATCTCTGATCTATTTTGAATATAGGCCACTGCAACGGTGCTAGTTGGATGTGCCAAGTAACAAGTAACACTTATTGGTCGGTTATTCGATATGGAATATGGTTGCTCTGCTCCGCTCTGCTCTGCTCTGCTCTGCTCTTTGGCACAAAACTCGTTTTCGCTGGATCTTTTGGGGGTTCTGTGGAGTTTAAAGTGAAAGGGTTCCGTTTATTTTGGTTTTTGTGCTGCGACACACAGCATCCAGCAATGGTAACTGCCTTTAATTGAGTTGTTGTAGCCTAACTCATTATTGGAACAAAATAAGAACTTGGTATCTTTGATAATTATAAGTTACGCAACGAAACCATTAATCAAATCCTTGAATTATCTGGTCTTTGAAGTGAAGGGGGCCCAAGAATGAAACCCCTATATAACTTATAAAAGCTTCAAATTGGCTGCTTATTATGTTTAAAAGAATTTTTAAACCATTAATTTAAAGGTGCCATGAACCATTTAATAGTTTTATCATTGAACAATGCGACAATAGGTCAAATCTTTGAGTTTTGTGGTTTTTAAAGTGAAAGGTTTCGTATATCATGCTTCCTAATTAAGTTGTTAAAGAAAAAATGAAAAAGATGTTGCAAACTATATAAATGTTACTACCAATAATGGTTCTACAACTTGAAAGACTTGAAGTTCTGTTTACATTCAAGTGAAAGGGTTTACTATGGACATTTTATTATCCATGGTTTTATGGTTTTCGGTCTCTCCACTTCAACAAAAAAAACCAGGGAATTATACCGCCTAAAGCACTTTAAGCCGCGTTAATTGAGCTGTGTATGTTGCTCAGTCCGTCATTTAAATAGGTAAGAATTTCAACATTCCAATAAATGATCATCTGTGAGAGTTTTATTATGTTTGAGCCACAAAAGGCGGCAGACAAAAGGTTAGAGGGGCTTTGTTTTTGATTTCTTATGGCCTTTGAAAGAACGGTTGTCATTTTGAAAATGAAGTTTCACTGTTGCACTGATTTTCGGCACTTGCTGGGTTTCCAGTTTACGATCTTCGTAAGGCCTTAATTTGTTTAAACTTTACATATACAATGTATATACAATTTATTCGATTCAATTATTCACTGCATCCGCACCCACACTGAAGCTGGGACGGGAATGGGAGTGTGCGTATGATCGGTTCGTGGGGAAATTCCCAATCATTCGATTCTAATGATTCATCAATCCATTGGCGGTTGTTAAATGAATATTGTAAATTTATATATTTTATGCATTTTTGCGCTTGAAATAGCTTAAAGGCATCGCATCGCATCGCCTGCACTCACACACACACTCAAGACGCACGCAGACAATGACAAAGTCCGGCCGATTCGGATACGATACGAGACGATATAGGTTGTCCGCTAGACGTTGCGCTTTGCACGAGAGTCAGAAATAAACTGAAACGGAGAAAAAACACGAACCGAGAGAGCAGAGCGTCGGCTAAGCGCACCTTGCTCAACATTGTTGTTGCTACCTCACGGGGTGTGTGTGTGTGTGTGTGTGTGTGTGAGTGTGTAAGAGGGTGTATGAGTGTGTGTGAGATTGCGGGAGTGTGGGTGCCTTGGATAAATGAGTGACGCGGCACAACTCGAAAACTCTGCACTTTACAAATTCATTATTACATGCTGACTTAAAGCTACTCTAAAAATCTAGTGAAGTTATTTTGTTAAATTAATTTTAAATTTAAATTTTAAAAAATATAATAAACCAATATTATATTTAATTGCAACTATTAAATTCCAAGAGTAAAGCTGACTTTAAGCTACTCTGAACTTGTTATGTCCCAAGCTAGAAGTGTTTATTTTAAAGGGTTATAGCAACCCTTTAATTAGTTTTTAAAATTCTTAGATTTATGTAAAATCTTTTAAAATTTTCATCAATTATATAAATAGCAAACAAATAATTAGTATCCCAAATTTCAGATCATTCTGATCAATAGTTTTGAAGCTATTGCTCTTTATAACAACAACTTCCCAAACAAGCCACAAGGAAAAATTAACTTTTAATTCCAAAAAGTTCCCCAAAGACAAAACAAAATTAAACTTTAATTTGACTTTAACTTTTGTATAAATAAAAAAAAACAAAAATCTCCCGAAAAAAATCTCTTCTGGGCTCCCTCTCTTTGTTGGCTCTCCAAATTTCCCGAAGAGAAACTTGGCACATGGCCAGAAGTGCATCGATTGCCATTCGGAACGGGTATCTGGGAGGGAGACCACCGCCTCCTCCATTGCCGGCGTCTGGCTGCTGTTTGGTTTTTTCGGAGGGGTCGTCTGGCGTTGCAACAGCTGTTGGTTGCCGCATCGCGACAAAAGACAGCAGCCACCCCAAGCCTCCCCCTCCAAAAAATAAAATCTTTATTGATTGCATGTGCAAGTACTCGAGTACGTGGCATAGGGTGGACTTGCTTCCATAGGGGAGAACTATCCCTAAGACTAAACTAATTTGAATTTTGTACTAGAGAATAACTTATTCCCTCACTTTTTCATTATAAAATCCTACTTTTAGCCAGAACATGTAACCAATACCTTTTGTAGACATGTTTAGACTTAATTTTGATGGTGAAAGTAAGATACCAATACAAAGAGGTTCATTTAGTGGGAGACAAAAATGTTTTCAGCAATGGAAAGTGAGAATTTGGTCGGATATGGAATGACTTCAGTCATCTTTACCAGAGAACATGTGAAACTCAGATTCGTATCTGCGTAAACACCATAGAAAATAGTACATGCCATGTACTACAGTGCGTATGAGTAATATATTAAGAATCAGTAATGAAGAATAAAATATAATAATACAAATAATAAATAAGCATAATAAAAACTGAAAACTGTAGAGTATACGTCTTTCTATGGTCCACTCTTATCAACATACATATATAATGCAGAGGTACTAAGTTATGTATGCAGGTTCACATACCAACGTCCACATTGCGGACTAAAGTAAGACCAAATCGTAACTCCGCTTTTAATCGACTTTTACTGCTGTCTTTTCTAAGTAAATGACAGCTTAAACTGCCTGATTTCGGGGGTGCTTTTAAGGCGCAACCCCAAAACATCAGAAATAGAAACCAGACAGACCGAACCACTTAGACCTTTGCTTTGTCTTATTGCAGTCACCACTCCTCTGCAATTATGAGTGCTGAGATTAACAAATGTCTCTCGAGTTCCCTTGGGCAAGTATCGAATTACCTGGAACTTTGTCTACTTCTTCGCTCCAACGGGAAGCCCCAAATATGAAGGTTAAGCTTTTGCTAAATAGCAGAGTTGCTATAAGCACTCTCTAATCCTGAAGCACTTCAAAATCGCACAGAGAACTAAAGCAGAATTAAAGCTACAGTTTGTGTCCTGGTTGCACATTTTTAATTTACACAAAATATATATTTATATATGGTTTAAAAGTTAATTATATTAAGATATAGATGTTATGTTCGTAAACTTTTAAAATAATTTAGTTATTCGGCAAACCGAATCCCTTCGCCGAACCCCTGCCGGTTGGCCAGTTCTGTAGTAACTAGTTTACACATCAGAGTGAAGAAGTAATTAATTAATCGAGCGGATCTAAATAATAGATTCTGTACAGTCATAACAATATACAATTGACTTTCGAAATAATCAACTTGGTTAAACAAATATTTATACACATATTCACACGAATGGGCGTTAAAAATACATAACATATTTTGCGTAAGATTAAACAGTTCGCGCCAGCAGCAATTATCAACAATCGGGGGAAAAGCGGGACAGAAATTAGTAGTTAATTAAATACGGGTCAAGCGATGGCGGCACTAGTCACTAATGATATAAAATGTCACAAATACAAAAATAAAATAATAAAATACAAGCTTTACTCTTCTATTTTCTTTTCATCTTCTACCTATAGACTAATCCGCGATGGCTGTGTATGGTAAGCTGCTGTGCTTCGGCTTCGTCTTGTTGATGAACACCTTGATGGCGCCGTTGAAATCGGCACTGACCAGCACATAGCCACAACCCTTTTTGTGCTGCTCAACGAGTGGATCGGGCTGATTATGAGCCAACTGCAATGATATAATACGTTTACAAACTATATTCTGACAAGAAATTATGAACTATTACCTTTTCCATCGAGATTTCATCCGGTTCGGGCTTAATTATGGCCTCCGGGTGTGGCGCAAATATGGCACATGTTACCGTGGCATTGTGTGCTTTAATGCCTTCCCAGAAATCACTTCGATCGCGACGAACCTGTAAATAAATTGAAACATTATAACAAGCTTTTGTAAACATTAATATTTATAAAACCCACCGAACTAAGCTTGGAGTAGTCATGATTAGTTTTCCATATATATATGCACTGATTCTCGGAACCCGCTATAATGTACTTTCCATCGTGGCTAAAGGACCCCTTGATCTGCGAGGAGACGTTCAAATATCCCTTGTACTTGCATGACAAGTTCAAATCCCTCAGATCGTAGAGGCGTACGCGGCTGTCGTTGGAGGTGACTAGAATCTTGTCCTCGCCGGGCATCGGTTCAATGCCGCTGATTTTGCGTCCAATGCGATTCTTTCCTCGGGTGGAACGCACATGGATTTGCGTGTGGTACTTAAGCTGATCCGTGTTGTAGAATATACAGCGACCGTCGTAGCTCCCAACCACGGCAAACTGTCCGTTCTGGCAGAAGTTGGCGGCCGTTATAAGCTTCGTCTGGCCATCGACCTCATTCCACAGGGCCACCTTCTTGTCGGGTATGTTCCACAATCTCAGCTTGCCATCAAGGCTTCCACTCAAAAAGTACCTGTCATCGCGGGGATGAAAGGCAATGGCCGTGACAAAATCGATATGCTGGAAACAGCAGAGGCACTCCTTTCTGGATATGTGCCAGAGGCGCACTGTCTTGTCCATACTGCTCGACAGAATGAAGTAATTCTTCGACCAGCTGACGTCCAGCAGATCCGAGGTGTGTCCATTGTAGGTGCAGAATGGCTTGGGCATAAACGGACCAGGGCATTTCTCGGCTGCAGTAGCCATGGCAATGGCCTCCTCCGCTGAATGCTGCGACACTAGAGATTCCTGCGAGGGCGTAGGCGAAGATTTTTGATCAGCATTGTATTTGTTGCGCATGTCCTAGAAGAAAAAAGATTTGTTAGATACTTGGGGAAATTATATGACTTGGCAGCTATTAACCTGGAAGAATGGATAGGCATCTTTAAGAACCCAGATCCTAAGCACCTTATCCTGCCCGGCAGTAGCCAACAGGCGTCCACAGGAACTGAATTTCATGCACCACACAGCGCTTGTGTCCTCGCCACTTAAATCCTGGACGTGCTGGAGCTTGGTAAACTCATACGGCCCCTTGTTGGACGACGAGGCCTTGATTTTGATATTCTGCTCGGGATTCATGGCATCCTCGATGTCCGCCACATCCTCCTTGTGCCGCGCATGAGAAACTTCCGAGGCAATCGACTTAGCCTTGTCCACCGTCTTTCTCATGGTGGTGCCAAAGAAACGTTTAATTCGCGCCGTCTTCTTTTTGAGCCGACTTCCGTCCTCTGTCTCGAGCTCCTCCTCGTCTGGCACCTGTCCCTCAGTACTGGGCGGTATGCCAATTACACTCTCCTCATCAGACTCCTTCTGGATCACCTCCAGGTGCGAGGTAAGTTTCAGGATGTGTAGCGAGAGTGGATTCCAGCCCTCAGGCACAGGTGGTGAACGCATTTCGGAGAGCGGCATGTTCTCGCCGGTGTCCAAATTCTTCACAGGAACTTGTTCGAGTATCTCAAAGTCGGTTAATTGCTTCCCCGAGCTGGTGCGAGTGCGTACATAGATATTCATCTGTTTGAGCACATCCTCGTCGCCCGCAGACTTGCGCCGTTCCTTATCGGTTGTTACGCGATAGAAACCAGGATAGCTAAAAGAGAATTGACTTAATAAAGAGGGAATTCATCACTATTGTTTTAAAAAACTTACCGTGTGGCACTGCCTAAACTGTTGGACCCTGTGCCCGCCAGCTTGGGTCGATTCGCATTCTCCATTAGCATCTTCTCAATGCGCTCGATTTCATCTTGGGACGGACCCTGCGCCTTGTTGCTGGCTTCATCGCGTGGCTTTACCACATAACCACCCTGAATGGCCTTGAATAGGTTAAGACCCTGATTAGGATCAATGGAACTGCAAGTCATAAAACATATGTTAACATTTCTTCTCAAAAAATATAATTAGTTAAAGATTGTGCTCACCTAACTCTTCCCGGTGCCGAGTTGCTTTTAGCTGAATTCGAGGGACTTGGCTTTGAGTGAACAGACGTTGAGCTGCTGCCCAATGATTGCGAGGATTTGGGGCCGGCAATTGTCACCGAAGAGGCCAGGTTACGCATATGAATCGCACTTGTCGATGGCAGAGACGAGGACGCTGCCGTAGTCGAAGCCGAAGCAGAAACGATCGTATTCGTAGAGGAGCAGGTCAAAGTGGTGTTGGAGGCTGAGGCGATAGATGCGTCATTAAGTGAACTCTCAAACTCCATGACAAACTTCTGCTGAAAACCTTGGACGCTCTTCACCGAACGGGTGTCACTGTCAGTGTCTTCATTATCGGCCTGCGGCTCGGAGGAGGAACTATTGGAGAAGTTTCGAGACTTTTTCTTTCTTCGCGGCGGCGCCACGGGTCCACTCGAGGTGATGGAATCCGTGGTCTTTGACTGGGCAAGTTTCGTGCTTGCTATCACATCCGGCTCCTGCAGCATAATGGCGCTGGCAGCTCCTGTCGTAGTTGTGACAACCACTGCCGTTTCCTTACTGCCTTGTTGATGCTTCGGCGAAACCCTGGGCGTACTCAGACCGGAAGAGGTGTTGCCAGTGCTCGGTGGATTGGTGTTCGACACTGTCTGCGCCTGTTGCTGTGCCTGTTGCTGTTGCTGCTGTGCCTGCTGCTTTTGCTGCTGCGCATTCAACGAGGCCAGCGACTCGCGATCTATACTAATGGCTAATGGCCAAGCAAATAAAAACGAAAGTGTCAATCGTGCTTTGATATTTGCAAACAATATCTAAGTCTTCACTCACCAGAGGGATCGATGCTACCGGCCAAGATTCGGCCCACGCGACCCAGTGACGTCATGCTCTGTATGCTCATCGTATCGGTCTCGATGACCTTAAACGGATGCGTCGACCGGCTGGTGAAAATGCCATCAGTCGAGCTATTCTGTAATTCGAGTTTTAAGTCAGTAAATTCAAGTGGGACATCGGTGTGTGTAGGACAAAAACACAAAGGTTGGAATAACAAACTAAACATGGATAACGAAAGATATGTATACCTGAGAATCAGGTGTGAGTGTGTTTCCTGGATTATCGTCTTCATCGTTCTGCATGAACTGACGCAGTTCTTGAAAGCGCTGTCTACCACCATACTATATGCCCGATTTTGAATTGTTATTGATTTATATGTATCCACACATTATACATTTGGTTTAGATTCAAGTTTATATTCGTTCGTTATGTTTTATCGGAAATGAGGCGGAGAAAATATGAAAGTAAAGAACACAAATATGGACACAAAATTAAAGGAAGCGACGACATTGGGTATTATTAATTTAATTTTTAAATAGTAATAGTCTGCCTAATCAAAATTAAAAAAAAAACCCTTTAAATAATTATTAAAACCAAAAAGTATTACTCTATATTGGGTCAGAAATGCTGTGTACATATAAAAAGTATGTTTATCTAAGCTTTATCTACATTTAATCACTAAGTAAACTCTATTAAACATATCATATCGGCTTTTAACCAATTCCTTTCCAAAAATGATATAACACTGGCGTTGTTTATTGAGCAATTAAACATTTTATAGCTGGCTAACGCTGATAGTAACTAGCCGGTGTTGTCTAAAAATAGAAAGTGTGGTATGCCTAATTGTGACAACAAAAGGAAAGAAAAATATATATTGATCTATACGGACAGAAAATTAAATATATTTTGAATAGAAAACATCTCTATAATCTTTATGGATCCTGAATATTTTATAAGCAAATATTGAATGAACACCAATACCAAACTATGGTATATTCCGAGCAGTCACAGAAATACGATTTTAAAATTAATTGAATATGTTTATAAAAGAATGCTATTAACTATTAACAGCTCAAGTAAACATCTAGTCCATGGTAAATCTAAGACCTTTCCTTAGGATGTAGAATGAATGAAACTCATAAGGTTTCCATATTCAGAGTTTCTTTAGATATATCTATAAGCCTATTCAAAACCATTGAAAAAACTCATCAACTAAAAGATATAAACTATATTCTTTGACCAAGATCGGAGAACACCTAGCATATGCAGTCCACTTACGGATCCGGTCACTGGTTTCGGCTCAGCAAACACTCCGGAGACGCCACCGCCCGCAGCTTCCTGTTGCTTCAGCCGGGCACCCAGGCTGTTTGTGGGACTCCTGGTGGCGGGCGTTCCAGCGCCAATGGGTGTTGCATCGCTGTCCGACGAGGCCGCTGCATTGACCCGTACAGCGGGATCGGGAAAGATAAACTCCTGGGCCACTTCAGGCGGCAACTTACGACTGTAAGAATATTGACTCGAATGAATTCCGGCTGCACATACCAAAAGCAAGTACTTACCTAAGCGTGGAGTGGCGATTGGGCGTTGTGTCTTCGGCATCGAAAAATTCCTCTGAACTGTCCGAATCCGTTTCCAGCTTACTCATCTTCCCGTGCGTTGTGTGCGTCGCGCGTCGTTGAGTGGCTATCTCTATTACCTAACCGCCCAACCGAACGACTTCCCCCGTCCGTTGTATGCAAATTGACCACGAAATTACGCGTTTTCCTAGCTCTTTTTTTGTTATTGATTGCCTTTTGTTGGTGCGGCGCTTTGTTGCTTGTGGCTCTTGTCTGGTTGAATTTCAGTTGTGTGATGTCAGTTGGTGCAGCGCTGGCTTAAAAGGCATTGTACTTAGCATTTTGCCATCAATTGGTGGTGGGGAAACGGAGGCTCACTAGTAATTTAAGTTTAAATTTAATTTTTAATTGAGTTTTACGCCCGAGCGTAAATACTAGAGGTGTCAAGTGTGCGATTGCGTTTTCGATAGGCCAAGATGATTCATGAAAAATCGATATCTTGTGCTGAACAGCTGTTCAGAAAATCATCGAAACAATGCGCGCCACATATTTTTATCAGTCTGGCAAGACTTAGGTCACGATCGTATTTAACTTTTCGCAAGGCTTTCTTTAGGGTTCCTTAGAGTTTTCTGTGTACTAGAATTGGCAATTAGGTAATTGGTAATTAAAATGAAAACAATTTCAAATAAAAACTCACCTCTAAAGTATGGCAGCCCCAGTTTTGAGCTTTTAAAGTGTGACCAATTGGCGTGGTGAAGAAAATCCGCTCTTCGATTCCATCATTTTGTAGTATATTTTCAATCCCAAGAGTTGGCAGCGCCAGTCTCGATATTTGTAAACATTTTCCGCACGGCACGAATTTGTTTAACGAAAATGTATAAATGCATGTGATTTTGGCGACTTGTAACGTTTAGTCGAGCGACTCGCGGGGCAACGTCTATTGAGCCCAAGACTTTCGCGGGGTCAAGTGCATACAACATAACAGCAACAACAAACTTTCGCCGTGCATAAGATACAAGTGACTGCAATTACTGCGAAGTATAAAAAAAACGGGTGCCAATGATCGCTTACTACGCAATAGAAAAATAATTTATCGCGATAATTCGGCTAAACGCAAGTCGAACGTCAATAGAAACAAAGGCTAAAGTTATTGTTTTGTGCCGTCATCGTAAAATTGGCTTTGATAAAAGCACGTTCACCTCGTACCTGCCGCAAGCTGAATTACGGTAAAAAATAACTGCATATTTTTCGCTTACGGACATTACAAGAGAATTTTTTAATAAAACAAAGGATTTGTGAAATACGTGTTTTATAAACATATTTCGTCAGAAATAAATATAGACATATGGCAGTTTTTAAGCTCGTCATGCTTATCGGTTATGTACTAAGTATATACTTGTGTATGTTGTGGGTTGTTTATGTGCCATTGTTTCCCTTTGGGACTTCCTAAAAAAATAATATATGTATGTAAATGTCTTTAAAAAATGCTGTGTGCAAAGACAAAGGTGTAAAAAATTGATAAGGAATTATAGATGATATTTTTTACCTAAATATCGCAATCTGATTTCCGCATCGACTGCATTTTAAATCATCTTTCTTATCAGTTTCCTCTATATTGTTGTCCTCAGCAAAAAAATATCATACACCCAAAATATATACATATGTATGTATGTACATACATGTATGAGGTTTTCAATGAAACGGAAACCAGTTTGATAAGAAATACTGCTTGCAACTTGTTCGTCACTCAACCGAAACTTCAACTACCTCAAATACTTCCGATTTTCTCCTTTAATAATGCGATATAACTAACCTAGTGTAAGATTATCATCAGCCACACGTCACTAATAGCGGCCATGTTTGATAAACTATGCGAACGGCGCACTCGAATCTAATCTGAAATCTGTGCGCGAAGTGCTATTATAATCATATGTGTGTATTAAGCATTATCAGAGTTACAAACATATACAAATCCAATAACAAATTGAATAGATTTTATAGACGGACAACAACAGCAAAGACAACTTGTTTTGCAAACAGGTTTTGCGGCTTCGATCTTGTTTAAAAATAATTATTGAAATTTTTAAGGGATTTCGTTCTGTATACACCACAGTGTGGTCTCCCTTATGATCCAAAACAAATCGAACAATGTAGTTTACATTGCTGATAAATGAATGAATATTACATAGTGAAAGCTTGACCATCGGGAAAGTACACAACACCATATATGTAACTTGTGTATTTCCCTGATATCAGTTATCAATTCTTTGTTTCATACATTTACATAGGCCTGCTATAAATATGTGCAGAGTTCCTATATTGTACATTTCGATTGTATCTTTGTTAGACAGACGCTAAACCTTATCGGCCCCAAGGGACCCATTTTTTCTCACTTACTCCGAACTGTGCGGCACGTTCTGATTGATAATTGCTCGCTTACTTGGTCGAGCGGCCGCCATGTCTCATTTTAAGTGCAGCGTGCAAAATAATCTGTGTGCCATTTTGTATGATCCAATGAAATATTACGGCATATTGGCGACAATAATGATTCATGTAATTTGCAACTTAGCAACACTTTGTTTTGCCTGAAACCCCCTGACTACAATTTCCTTTCGATATTGTGTCTATAAGAACGGCAGTAAAAGACGATCTCGCCCCCATAACGAGCTCAGTTACCGGCGCGATAACACACACAAGTTGTGGATCTCGGAGCATAAATTTCCGCATTAGTAACAGTCAAGGGTGCTATAGTTATTATTGTATTGTGTTAACGGCTGAAAAGACGCCACAAATCAACTTTAAAGCTTCGTTCTCAGCCGAAAAAGAGGAAGAATCTATTGTCCACGACTTGTATGCTCTCCACTTGTGTACATTAATTTAATTGTTATAATGTGACATGTGACTTTTTCGGATTTACATATATAAAACATTAAAAATTTCCTGAAAGAATCAGTAGTTTTACAATTAAATTAAAGAACTTTTCATTGTTTTAAAATCCATTAAAACCAGACATTTATTTTGTTAAACGAAAAGCTCGTTCGGAAATAACAACAGCTAAACACATGAAGTCTCACTTATATTGTGCTGAAATTGGAGTATTTGTACAAGTGATCAACAGAATTAAAGTTAAGAAACTTGACTGGCTTCCTAGAAACGAATTTCGACTACATAAAAAACACTCAAAACCGGCTTACAACCTAAAGAAAGAGAATATGATTTCAGAGTTTATTGAATCTCTGAGAACTTGGCAAAGATTATGCCCATACCAGGCAAATATTTCAATTACACAGTTAAATTTTGCAGCTGTCATGTTATCATATATAGTATATGTATTATATATATGTATTTTATACATTTAAGCAGATCAAGAAGTACATATTTCTTAAAAGTGATATTGAAAGCTACTTGGTATTTAGGTTTCTTTTTGTATACTTTTAGGTAACTATATTGATAAATATTCATTAAATTCAACAAATTTTTTTAAGGTTTTTATAATTATTTGATCACTATGACCTCATCATGGTCATTGTCATGAAGCATACAATTTTTAGGGGAACACCACAAATGAAATTATTTTCTTTAAAATTCTTGACGAATCAGTTTCTATATACTATAGACTCTATATATATTCAGACAGATCTTCCTCCCTCCATTCCGTTTTCTGTAATTACTAGACTAAATCTAATCTAAACAACTTGCTTTTGTGATAGTTCAATGACAATGACGGCGAAAGATAAGAGGTCGGCCATAGCTATTTCGCTCATGGGTTCGTCTCTCGCATCTGCTGCTACCTGTTTCAAGTTCAGGTATAGTTGTCACAGGTTCTCGGACCCATTCCACCTGGATTCCCCAATACACATGTGCAGTATTGGCCGTTTAACAAAGCTGCCGAAATCATACCACTTAGGTCGACTCGACTCCAGCGACGGCGTCTGTAATCTTATCACCGCAAAAAGTGAACAGTCTAAGCTGCATCGTTCGTGCACATCAAATCGGAAATCAAATGGAAACAAATTATATCTTGACGTGGGCGTTCCAAGCGGCCGGCGTCTTCTAAAATTTTCGATTTAGTCAGTTTGTGCACAGTAAGGGCGACGGTTACCGAGTTTGGTAAATTCGCTCTGCCTTCTTAGTTATTTCTGCTTAATTTACAATCTGTTTAGAATTGCTAAAAGTGTTTAAAAAAGTTGTATGTAATCTAGTAGAGTCTTTAGTGAAGTAATTTAAAAGTTTAATATATCGAATTCAATCTGAATTCTGGAGGTTTCTTAATAGTTAAGCAAAAAAAATGGTTTAAAGTTAATAAAGTGATTTATACAAGTCAAAGAAAATACCTTTAAAAGACCTATAAGACGAGAATTAACATCAGAATTATATGTCTTAGAAAAGACTAAATATAAGTAATATTGTGTTTAAGAAATGCATACATAATCATATAAAATTCTCTGAATTAAGTACTTAATTTATAATGACAAAGAAATGCCAATCTAACTAAAAGAAAATACCCAATTAAATTTAAATAAAAATCCTTAAAATCTGCAATTATTTAAAAATTATATATATTAATATGAAACCGTTGAGGCAGGACACGATGGCAAGAGGCCGACTCATCCTGACGAATAGCCTGTCCCGGGCGATGGTCTTAGTTTGATTGACTGCTGTTTCTCACAAAGCTATCTCTAGTCACACTTGAGCCGCCGGGACTTAAGTTTACAGAGACCTGCCTGCTTATCGAACCTGACAACAGTCCCAGCCAGGAGTCCATTGTCCCGTATCTAAGAGATTTGCCCATCACATTCCGTCTGACACTGACTGGGTACTATAGGCATCTGAGCATTCGATGAGCTTGTTGCTAGGTGTAGGATTTTCGAAGCAAATTCTCGCTCTAACTTAGTGTATAAAGTATCTAAATTTATAAGTATATATCCAATTTTCTTTATCAGGGCACAATACGTTATTATAAGGATATGACCAGGCGGCAACAGTGAATGAAAAAGAATCCTTAGTCCCTCCAGCACAAAACCAACGCATAAATAGCCACAAAAAGACACCCAGCGAACAATGAGCACCAATACCAGCAGCTTCTTCGACGAACATTTCGCCATGTTGTACTCCAACCTGATGGATCAGTATATGCCAGAATACTTCAAGAGCTTTCAGTACACGCCATGGGTCTTCTCGCTCCTAGGATCGGTGGTCATTGGACTGAGTGGGATATTCCCGCTGATCATCATTCCCACAGAAGAGAAGATGGCCAAAGAGGGATACAAAGATCGTAAGTAGTAATTGAAAAGGAACTTGCTATATAAGAAATTATTATATACCTTATTCTTCATCCAGCTGCGGATTCAAAGCTCCTGCGAGTCCTTCTCAGCTTCGCTGTCGGCGGACTGCTGGGCGATGTGTTCCTTCACCTACTGCCAGAGGCCTGGGAAGGCGATAATCAAGATCCATCTAGTCATCCGTCTCTGCGCTCGGGCCTATGGGTCCTCTCTGGCATACTCATCTTTACAATAGTGGAGAAAATATTCTCCGGTTATGCCAGTGCGGACGAGGAGAATCCACAGCCCAAGTGTGTGGAGATTGCCAACTGTTTGCTGCGCCGACATGGCGGACAATTGCCAGAGGGCGAGACAGCCGAGAGTTGTGGAGGTGCTTGTGACATAGAGGATGTGGATAAGGTGTGCTTCCTTCGCGAACGAGAGCAAAAGTCCAAGGAGAAGAAGGAGCAGCCGAAGAAGGTGGCCGGCTACCTGAACCTGTTGGCCAACTCGATTGATAACTTCACGCACGGCCTGGCGGTAGCTGGTAGCTTTCTGGTCTCCTTCCGGCATGGAGTTCTGGCCACATTCGCTATATTGCGTAAGTAAAAGCATAATTATATAGTATACCCTTTTAACTTTTGCTCCTTTTGCAGTACACGAAATCCCCCATGAGGTGGGAGACTTCGCCATCCTGCTACGCTCTGGCTTCAGTCGCTGGGACGCCGCCCGGGCACAGCTTCTAACAGCGGGCGCTGGTCTACTAGGTGCTCTTGTAGCCATCGGTGGGTCCGGTGTAACATCGGCCATGGGTAAGCTTATGAGGGCTTTGCCACTGACAAGCCAGTGAACTTATCTTTACATTTACAGAGGCACGTACATCGTGGATTATGCCGTTCACCGCCGGCGGCTTTCTGCACATCGCTCTGGTCACAGTATTACCTGATCTCTTGAAGGAAGAGGAGCGGAAAGAATCCGTAAAGCAGCTGGTGGCCCTGATATTCGGCATTGCGTTAATGGCCGTGATGACTATGCTTTTCGAACACTAGGAAGTTTTATGTCGCGACAACAGTACATAAGTTGAAAAATTAATCCAAAGCAGTTGTAGTTTTACGACTGTCATTTGGCAGTTTCCAAATTTACAAGAATTTGTTGTACTTTATAGGATTATCGGTAATCCCGTGCCTGCGTTATGTAATTATAGCCGATATGAATGATATTTAAACTATTGTTAATGATTACGTATTATTGTATCATACTTATGGAACGAAAATTGAAAAATAGACATTTAAGGGAGACTCATTGGATTCTCCACCATCCATGAATATTTGTTACTATTTAATTTGAATTTAAATTTGGGAAAAAACTCAACTTGTTCCAGAAGAAAAACATAAAAGAAAGAAAAAATCACGCGAAAAGGTACTTCCTTTAAAAAACAAGTCATTTATTCTGTTTTCTTGTTTGCAAATCAGGCTTGCAAGCTTATCTAGTACCTTTATTTCTTAGACTTGATCTTCTTAAGGTAGAATTCCAACTCCTTGCCTTCCAGAATGTAGCCGTCAGAGCGGCCGCACTGTCCAGGGCGGGAAGAAATGCAAGCTGTAAGGAGAGCAAGTGAAAATATAGATTAGTCAAGTGATTCACTTAATTAAAAGGCACAAAGTTTGAGCAGAAGGAAAATCAGAGTAACTATGACAAGCCAAATCACACCCAACAGGCTTGCATCTCTCTTAAAACAAGATCGATGCAATAAAAGTTGTTGGATCGCTAAGGGTTTTACATCACTTTAACATAAGCTGCATATTATAAATACAAAACAAGATACATACCCAAGATGCGACCGGAAGTGAACTGATCCTCCAGGGCCTGCTCGACCTTGCCGTACTTCTGGCGCTCGAGGTACTTCTTCATCACCTTTTCGCTGCGCTTCTTGGTCAGCACGTCGTTCTCGTCCTCCTTCTGGGCATGCTTGGGGTTACGCTTGCGTCCCAGGGGCAGAACGTAGTGGGCCTCGTACCACTGACGGAATGGCGTGGCATCGATCACCACAATGCTGTTCTTCACCAGAGTCTTGGTGCGCACCAGCTCGTTGTTGGAGGCGTTGTACACCACATCGGCGATACGGGTCTTGCGAGCGACACCCTCGGAAGCCCAGGCGAAGTTACCGGTCTCCAGGCGCAGAGCGCGCAGCTTGGAGTTGCCACCACGAGTGCGGACACTGTGCACGCGGCTGGAGCCAAGCTGGAATACAAGAAATAACGATTTAGTTGGGTTTTAATCTTTGGGAAATGGTTTTTGGTGGAGCAAGTGGTCAGTAGTCCGAACATAAAGCTTTTCAATCATCAAGAAGAGTGCTCGAAAGCACAATTGCAGTTGACACGCGTTAACATCATTTGAAAAGGTGGTTGGATATCTTGGGACCGTTTTCTAAGGTTGTTTAGGGATCAGTTAAAGATATTTAATCAGTCTTAATGTTTAATTGTTGTTTTACTAAACAGTTTTAGTGATCAAGCTTGGATCAAAGGTATCAATACCTTTGACACACTTAAATTAGGTTAACTTTCACAGTTTAATTTTGATAAATTTTCATTTCATGTCTGTGTATCATTGATTTTAATTTTCATCGAGGAATTACTATAAACGCTTACGATGAAACGTAGGCCATGCGTTTATTGTGCTTAAATTCAGATTCTACTATTATTCAGCCACAAAATCATTCTCAACTTAAATAAAGCATTCCAAGTGCAGATTAATACTTTTAAAACTCAAAAATCACATGTGCTTAGATATGAAAACCGAGTACAACCTAGCATTCGTAGTCACTAATTAATGTACACTAAGCACAACAACAACAAGTCCCCTAATTTGATCCTCAGAAAACGGGCCCAAGGAACCAACGCACATCTAGACATATAGCCTGTATCGGGCACTATCTCACCTTGGTGTTGGCGGCGGGACGGCCCAACTCGAACTTGCGCTTCTTGCGGAGCGACTTGCGCTTGCCTCCTGTGGCGCGACGCTTGTGTGCACTATCACGGCTGATACCTGCATAAAACAAATATATAATATTAATACAGAACACGAAACTATAGCCACTAAATATCAAGAAGAAACATCACATTGTGTGAGGGAGGGGGGCTCATCGCCGCATTGCACGGGGCGCGAGTTAAGTACACTGATATTTCGTTATATTCACATATTTCCAGCTACTGCTGGGCAGATGCAGCTGTAAACGTACTTGATGCACAATTTCATGTTGCTTGCAGGCGTTTCCCGGCCGATTTTCTTGATATTTCGACGCATTTGGCCAGAGTTTGACTTACCCATGTTCAAGTAAAAGCGAAAAAGAAAGGAACCTCGTGTCGAAAAAAGTAAGGTTAGGCGTAGTGCTGGCAAAACATCGCCACAATCGATATGAAAACCATCGATATTTTTGCGCCATCGATGTTTTTACATTTTACATCGTACACGTTCAGATAGACATTTCGCAGATTTACAGAGACTAGGGGTAGATTTCTCGTGTTTGAAGTAGAATCCTCGTTTTTAAGGTAGAATTCTCCTGTAGAAATTAAAATTCGCATGTAGAACGTAGAATCCTCCTCTCATCCAAAGAACGATCACAAGAGAGCAAGACGATAATATTTAATTTTTCGTTTCAATTAATTTCTGTATTCTTTAAAACTAAAATAATTCATCAAAATTAAATGAAAACAAGAAACGAAGAATACTTTGCAACACCGAAGTTTATATATCCTTGTAAATAGAACTTCAATCACTAAAAATTAATATAATACAAACTATCTATATTTATGTTCAAAAACAATGAAGTAATGCCGGCTTTCATTTCATTCAATTATAAATATTATATTTACAGTTTTATATTTCCAGTTTTGGATTTTCATCGATATGCAACGATCGTTTGTATGATAGCTATATGATATAGGTGTCAGATATTTATAAAATTTTAAACAAAATTGTAGAATTTGAAAAAAATCTGTGGAAAACTGAAAAAAATATAATTATTTATTGGATTATTTTTTCGATCGTTTCTATGAAAGCAATACGATTTTCATATAACTTTACACAAAATTCTATATTAGAATAAAAGGGCTCAAATCTTAAATATTGACGAAAATCTTTTTTTTATATAATTTTAATTATATTAATTTTTTGATCGTTACTATAGTAGCTACATGATAAAATATTCCGATTTTTATAACATTAAAAAAACTGTAGTAGAATATAAAGTGGTTATTTCAAAAATTTTATAAAAATCTGTTGAAAATTGGAGAGTTATAATTTTGCTAACTTTTGTCTGAAATTATAATACCTTGCAAGGGTATAAAAATTTATACATAGAATTAAAAATTGATGGTATCGAAGTTTTAATTTGTAAAAACTTCGGAAATATCGTTAGTGAAAAACAACAGCGATGCCACTACCGATGAGTGCACATCGTTACAGCGATAATCATTGTATTGCTATGGGCAGCACTGAGATGCGACGATAGCAATCGATAGTGCAATCGGTTGTCCATCGAGCTCCACTGTACTTCTAAAAATTGAAAAATAAACGAATTGATAAATAAGCTAACAAGATTGCGAGCCCAGCCAATAGGATCTGCCGGAGGCGTCGGTACCCACACCCTGGATACCCCCATGACACTATGGTCGGGAAGAACTTCAAGGCTCTGTCGCATTTTCACCGCCTCACCGAATACATAGTACAGTGCAAGCATTGCGACAAGACGCTCTCGTCCAAACATACCTCTTCCAACCTGACCCGCCATCTCATCCGCAACCACAAGCTGCTGGCCCGCACGATTTTCGCCGGCGAGGAGGGTAAAATGCTCGCGGAGCTCAAGGAAGAGCTGGACGCATCTGTTTTAGAAGACTTGAGCATGGAGTTGCAAGAGGGCGAGGGTGAGACAAAGAGTGCGGTGCGCACGATCATTGGTGCGAAGCATGAGCATTTGGAGCGGCACAGCCACGAGTCCGAGATGCGAAACAAGGTGATTGGAAAGAACAATAAGCTCTGGGCGCACTTCATCCGCATCTCCGAGTTCATGGCCAAGTGCAAGCACTGCGGCAAGACGCTCTCTTCGAAGCACTCCTCCTCCAACCTAATGCGCCACATTGTTCGGCGCCACAACAACCTGGCCAAGACCCTCAACCACTCTCACCATCACCTGATGACGCCCAAGAACGAGGTGTTCGCTGTCCTGGAGCGAAGACAGCTGTCGGATCCGTTGGAAAAGGTCAACTTTGACGATGTGGATAGCATCATCGAAAAGGTGGCGGACCACCTGGATGACGAGGTTTGTGGCCATAGGCTTTCATTGCTCAGCTCCAACTGCTTCATATTTGCGTTCTTTAAAGGTTACCTCAATCTCGCTGCAGGAACCCTTCTACGAGTACGTGGTGGACAGCTCGGATAACGCGGTTGTGGACACGAGGCAAGATGATCCCGATCCCGATCCAGAGCCGAAGGCGGAGCCGGAGCAAGCAGACCTGCACGACCTAATACCCACAGACACCGCCTCACTGGCGGAGTCCACCACGCAGCTGGACGAGAAACTGAAGGCGGAAACGATATACTACAATGAGATGGCCGAGCTGGCAAGAGCCAAGCGTCGGCTCATCGATCTGCAGACCAAGAAGCTACTGCTTGACATGAACGTGGTGATGGATAATTAACACCAATTGACGAAAACTTACAACACGTATTTTGTATGAAGGCGAGCAATATGATTATGATTAATATTAAGTACAATTATGATTTTACCAAACAATTACCATGTCCGAACTTAATGCGGGGGTTTCCAGTGCTATAAATTAAAATTTAAAACTACCTTAAGCATTAAATAATAAAAAAAGTAACTTTAAAATGATAAATAATTTGGTTGTGAAACCTTCCTTAAATCTTAGAATCTCATTGAGCTCGCAGGGTTTATTCAGCATTCCACTTTTACTGCTGGGGTTTCCAGTGCTATAAACTTAGATTAACAAATAACTCAAGCATTTAATTATGAATTATGTTTAAAATATAACGTTATTTATTTATTTATAACTGAAATGGTTTTATAAACGTAGTTATTGAGCTGGCGGGCTATTTAAGCATTCCAGTATTTTTTCTGTATGAAAGGTAGTGTTACCACCCTTTCCGGGTACCGACGCCATGTTGTGCGACAGCACTTTGAGATTTTACGTTTAACAAATCTGGCCACACTACACCCCAGGAGGCATAGCTTTTTTGTTTTTTGACGAAAAATTAAAGGAAAAACTTCATATTTAAGCTGGCACACTCACAACGTGTAAGTAAGATGGCAAGTTTTTCGCCAAACCAACTGCGGCAGTGCGCCCGCTTTACCGGCACTGCCTGCACGCCGGAGAAGGAGCAGCAGCTACGCGACCAAATCCACAGCGAGCTGGCCAAGATCAAGTACTGCGCCAATCCAACTTACGAGTGCAGCCTGATGAGGGTCGAGGGCCATGAGTACTGCATCCGGCACATTCTGCGCGATCCACGCTCCAACTACCGCCAGTGTACGCATGTCTATGCGAATGGTCGGAAGTGCATCAATGCGGTGCCTAAGTTCGACAACAAGAAGGAACTGATACTGACGACGCTGTGCTTCGAACACAACCGCCAGACGCAGTTGCAGAAGACGCACTTGGCCGTTGGACGCGTACGCAAGCTGGTGGAAACGAACGAGACGCTGCTCAACAGCCTGTCGTCGCACATCAATGTGGAGGGCATAAAGCCAGAGCCGCTCAAACAAGAGCCGGATGATGATGAAATAGATGTGGTGTCACCACACGTTACCCCCTTTGGTATGTGCTATACTTTTGGAAGGTTTTCTGGCCTTAAATAAAGACGATTCTTTTACAGATTTCCAAGATCATCGCAACAGCATTGGTGACATTGTGGAATCAGCGCGCAAGCGTCGTCGCATCCTAGACTATGCTTCAGATAGCTCTAGCAACGATGAAGATCCGCCCTGCGTTAGGAACACCGCTCAGGATATTGAGTTCAATGAATCAGACTACGACAGCATCGATTCAGAAGATGATGATCCACTAAAGTAAGGCTTTGACTACTACTTTGAAGTAATTATCTAATAACTAATACATTTTAATAACTTTTGCAGACATGCTGGCGTATATACGCGTGCCGAGGCAGTCCGTGTGGCAGAGACAAAGTTGATAAAGCTGCAGGGCCTTTACCGTGAGCAGGTCTCCCACCTGCAGCATGTCCTGAAGCAGCGACGCCGCAAGTACTTGCACGACATTCGCCGCGAGCGTGAGATTTATTGTAAGTTTGAAATATTGTTTAGTTTGAATGTTTACTACGCTTAGGTTCATTTCACAGGCAGCATACACGATCAGCTGAAGGACACGCCGCACGAGCGCAAACTGTACGACCAGCTCAAGGCTCTGAACACATACCATCGTCGTCAGGGCATGGAAGCGGTGCTCTACAAGAAACTGAAGGAGAAGCGAGCCAGGGACACCCTGTACGCTTCCAAATCGTCGAGCAATCCCAAATGCGTTTTTACCGAGGGCGGCGTCAAGTGCGGGGAACGAACGCTGCCATGCTGCAAGCACTGCCGCAAGCACATACTGGAGGATAAGCGTCAGGTCCTCTTCCGGGCTTGTGGCGTGGAGCGCAGCGGTGTTGTCTGCCAGGAGCCGGTGACCAGTATTCTCGAAGATTCCAATTGTGTGCTACACCTGACCGTGGCGCCGGCCAAGCGCCAGTATATCCAAAAGGTGCGTTAATCAAAGACCCAAAACCTAACCTAACCCAACGCATAACCACCACATGTTACTACTTAAACTTGATTATTTCAACTGCCTCTTTAGTCATTGCCATAAGTTGTGCAGAAGGCACAGTAGCCACTTAAACTGTCAAACAGTTTCTTCAACCCGACACTGCGCATAAATTAGATTAAGGCTTACATTTTGTTGTAACGCTAATGCTAAGAACATGTATAGATAGATATACACAAGAAACGCTTGAACATAAGTACTTCTTAGTATTGTCTTAATAAGTCGCTTTTGTGATCACTCCACACCGAATAAATTGCCGACCTCTTCACCCCCATCCCCTAGTTTTATGAACTACCAAGCACACCACCACAAGAAAGTATCTTTGCTGCTGGTCGCGGTGGTGATAATTTAGTTGGAGAAGAGGCGCCAAACAGCATTGAGCAGCCACCTGAAGGCGGTAGTGACGACTTGGACTTGGACTTTGCCAATGGCATCTTCGACTTTGATCTCGACACGGCCGGAGATCTGGCGAATTCCCTTGACGATGACATTTTTCTCGATTTGGATGCTGATCTCGGCTTGGCTTTCGACGATCAAAGTTTGGCCGACTTGGGCTCTGACCAGGAGGGCGATGATGAAGCCAGTCCCGAGGCAGTCAGTCCCACTGAAACTATCGATCAAGACAACTTTAATGCAAGCCCCTAGACCTAGACCAAATAGCTTTTGAAGAAAATCCCGAACTAAACTATCAAGTGATAGACGAAACCGATACCAATGTAACAGAAGTTTTGCGAATGCTCGATGGCATTCAGCACATGCCTTGGTTCGATGCATTAATGAACCAGTAACAAGCTAACATAGTAATCATTATACATGTCATCATATTTTATATCTGTAGGTTTTCCTTGAGACTTTTTTGACCAATGTATATTCCTCCACAGAAATGCGAGTCCGAGACCGAAGAGGACGAAACTACCACCTCGTCTGCCAGTATGAGTGTCCCCATAAAATCAGAGCCCAAAGCCAATGTTCTCGCCAGCCGAGTCCTTAACGTCACCACAGCCCATGGCGAGGACAAAAAAGATGATATCAAACTCATAGAGCCCGTGTAAGACCAATCTAGTTCGTAAGACTTTGTAGTATAAATGTTTACTGTTTGCAATGATAAATAAATGTAGAAATTGATCCATGACAAGTGCTATTAACTTGTTTACATATTTATTTATATATATACATTTAATGGCTTCTAATAATTTATACAACTTAATAATTGCATTATTTGTCTATGCACTTTAACAACTCACTTCTTATACCCTTGCAGGGTAATACATAAGTATGTTACTTCAGTCAGAAGCCTACATCGCATCGAAGCTTTTCAAATTAATGATTTTTTGGCTAAGTTATGAGTTTTTTAAAATTTGGATTTGTCGAAAACATTGCAAACATTTGAAGCTATTTAGTTATGATAAATTTCCGAATCGATCCTATAATTCAATTACAAACTGCAAGGGTATATTAACTTCGGCTTCCCGAAGATAGTTTCCTTTCGTGTTTTATACAGAATTATGCATAGCCCTTGTAGCTGCTTAAATAACAGAAAATATGCACTCCGTTTGCTTAAAAGTAATGACTGTAATTATCTGATCTTAAAGCACAGTTAAATATATGTATATCAGTTATCAGTTCCTCCGCTAAGTTTCTCTACTCAAATATTTACAGATAGCATATGCCTTAATCATAAATTGATGGCAACTGCTCTCGTTGTTGAAATGCACTATTAAAAATAAGAAATTGGCAGCTAAATATATTAACAAAGTCTGTAATTTGTTAAACGTTAAAGTTCCTTATAGTTCCGTTGTAGTTTCCACCTCCGAGCGATCCAAATCGTTCAGATACGAGAAGCCTATTTGGCCATAGTCCCTCTTGCCAAAGGACACATTCTCGTTTGTACTGCTCAAGTGATTGTGATCAGAACTGGATCTGGAAACGGAGATTAGATTGAAAGGAGATTGGTATTTTTATAAGACATGTATAAATAATATATTTACCTTTGAAACAGTGGGTTAGTTATGGGTACTTCTCCGCCATAAAGCCTATTGTTTAGCTGGCCATTTCGACCTAAGGTAGCATTCATCAGTTCTCCGTTGCCGTTCAGTAATCCCACATCGCCGAAGGTATTTCCACGCCTGCCCATTGTGCTATAGGCGTTATTTTTGGCATTGGCCAGATTATTGGGCCCCGTAGGATCTATGTTGTAGACACCATTCTGGTAATGATTACTATTCTGATGCTTAATCCTGCCCAAAGTCAGAGTCCCTGAAAGAGCACCATTGGCAGGGGATCCCAATGGATTGGCATTGTTACGAGTGTTGATTTCTAGAGTGCGGTTAAATGTGTTCTGCCGGTTGTTTATGGCCAAATTGTTGTTCATATTGTTGGCATTGTTGAGATTCTTGTGTCGCCGTAAAGTGGCAATTGTGGCCGTCGTGGCATCTGAATGCGAGGGACTGGATTGACCGCCGCCTCCATTAGAGTTCTCCTTGTGTGTTATATAGCTGACATTGTCCAGGGAGAAGGCGTGGTTCTTGGCACTAAAGTCCAGCTGCAGATCGTCATCTACATCTGGTGGTACAGCCATGGCCAGCATCTGGGTTTCGTACTCCTTCATATTGGCTATGGTTTCACTGGCATTCGAGGCCTGCTGATTAACGATCACGGGATCATAGCGAGTGGGGTTCGTGGAGGAGTATTGGCGCATGCGTTGCTTGAAGTTCTTGTATCTATTTAAAAAAATTGTATGTAAAATGTGTTATATATTTTCTTAATTAAGAATTATGATTAAAGACTACTCACTTTGACCAAGAAATGCATATATAAATAATGCCTATGGTGCCCAAAATTAGTATAACAAGTGATATGGCAATGAGGGTAAAGGGGAAGACTTCGTTATCAATATCTACAGCAGTGGCTTTGACCTGTTACATAAAAATTAATAAAATAATTAAAGGATTTTAGGATATTCCTCTAAAACAAATTAATAACTCACCGTATGACCTTGATCTTTTCTTTCAAGTGGGAATGAAATACTTTCAGCTGTGGCCCTTGGCAGAGCAATATTCAGTTCGGAACGGGCCGCAGGTTCCAGCAAAGTGGTTTCCACAATACTATCCTTACGGCTCACTAGCTGCTCCGTCTTGGGATCGATTAGATAAAACCATATATCCGTGGCAGAGGGATTCTCAATCACAGATCCATTCTTGGCCAAGTACTTTTGACTGCTCATGCGCTCAATGCCACTGACTAGGCCAGTCTTCTTGTCCAGCAACTCCTCCAGTTCAGTGTAGTAGTTCCGAAGATCGCTGGGAGCAGCGTTCGGGAAGGATAAAGCCATGCGATTGATATCCGCCAATTTATTGACCACTATGCGGGCTCTGGTGCGATGGGATCCTTGTTCCTGTTGGGCATCGCTGTCACGGGCCTCCACCAAAAATGTCATGGGGAAATCGTTTTCGTTCTTAAAATGCCTGGCCGTCCGCAGGACTCCAGTGTCCTCAGACATCATGAAGTAGCTGGTTGGCTGAAATAAAAGTATATCATAAGTAAAAGTTCATCTTAAACGTAACATATTTGACCTAATTTTTCAAGTAAAAAAATATTTACTCACCACATTAACACGATTTTCATCGTCGTCGTAGAGAGCATATCGAACGGTTCCAAACTTGCCGGAATCTCGGTCAGTGGCTCGCACCTGCAAAATGGTTGTGTCCACATCCATGTCTTCGGTGATTATGGTGTAGAAAGTGTCATGCTGACCGCGCAGCCGATTAAATTCGAACTCTGGCGCATTATCGTTCTCATCCTGGACGATTATCTCAACGGTGGCCGTGTCCTTTAGGGGATTCACAAAGTACCGATGCGATGTGAGGCGGATCTGAAGGGTGTAGGAGGTCTTGGCCTCAAAGTCTAGCGTCTGAATGAGCTGCAAGTGGCAACCGTGATCTGCAACACTCAGGTTAAATATTCCCTCCTCATTGCCGCGCACAAATTCGCACTTGAAGGCCGGTGGCCCGTTCGACGATTGCTTTGAGTTGACTATTTGGATGAGCTTCAGAGTGCTATTCGCCTCCGTTGACTCTGGAACACTGGTGGTGTAGCTGTCGTCACTGAATGCCAGGCCAATGCTTTCACTGCTCATCATGGTTCCGCTTTCCAGCTTATTATCCGACTTGACATCGTTGCCGTTGCCATTGGACAAAAGATGATGGACATCTACGCGCAGTGGTGCAACGGAACTCAGCTGTGGCTCCCCCAAATCGTAGGCTCTGATGTCCACCTGGTACTCCGTGTCCTCCTCTTTGCGTAGTTCATCACGTATGCGAACAGCACCTGTGTCAGGATCCACTTGGAAGTACTTGGGTGCCTTGCCACGTCCCACAATCTCATAGCGAACCACATTCCCGGGAGAGGTTCCATCCCCATCGATAGCTGGCAGAGTGGCAATAATGGTTCCTATGCTCTGGTCATCGTTCACTGTAACTGGATCAGGCACGGTTATAAACCTGGGAGGAAGATCGTTGCGATCCTCGACTTCCACCACCAAATGGACAGTATCTCCGGGTGAATTACCATCATTCTCAATGGTTCCGATGGTGAGTTCATGTTGCTTCTGAGTTTCGTAATCCAATCCCTTGATTGTTCTCACTTCGCCGGTTTTGGGTGTAACCTTAAACAGCTCTGCATTGCCCTTGCGGAGGACATAGGTGATTTCCGGCATCGTATCTGGATCGAAGGCTTGAACAGTGGCTACCAGGAAGTTTTCCTCATTTTCCGGAATATGTACATCAATCCGAGCATCGCTAAACTTGGGCACCTCGTCCGGAAGATCGAGAACCATCACAGTGACACTGGCCGTACCTAATCTGGCATCGGGTGCTCCATCCTTGGCTGTAACCACAAACTTGTACTCATTTGTCTTCTCATAGTCCAGCGCCTTGGCTGTGAGAATTTCTCCAGAAGTGGCATTGATAGTGAATGGTATATCCGTGGGTATGGAGTAGGTAATCTCCGCATTGATTCCTTCATCCGCATCGGTGGCGTGCACCACTCCCACGGAGGCCTGCGCCATTCCCTCATCCACTTGGAAGACATATGGCAAGGTGGAGGCATCAAATTCGGGATTCTTATCATTGATATCCGTCACCTTTATGTTCACTGTGGCGCTGCTGGAGAGACCACCACTGTCCTCCGCCTTCAGTATCAGTTGGTAACGCGTTAGGCTCTCTCGATCCAATTTCCTTATCACTATAATGACACCGCTCTCCTGACCCACAGCAAACTGCCGTAGATCATTGCCTGATATGATGGAGTAGACGACGGCATCGTTCTCGGGATCATCGGCATGGACCACAGTGACTGTAGAATTGATTTCGGCACCCTCGCTCACCTGGATCTCGTAGATGGGCTTCTGGAAGCGAGGCGGCTTCGTGTTCGGTCCCGGAGTCACACTCACCTCCACAATGGCCTGCGAAGAGAGTCCTCCAATATCGGTGGCCTGGACAGTGATGCTATATTGTTCGCCGGCCAAGAGGCGTCCTTGGGTTCTAATCTCACCCGTGGTCTCGTTGATGGTAAACTTTTGGATGCCATTGTTGGAGACGTGGTAAATGGAGTAGGTCACCACAGCATTGGGTCCCTCATCGTTGTCGGTGGCGTTGACCTGGGTGACCAGACGACTCTCACTCTGATCCCCGGCCGTAATGGAGATGGGTGGCACCATAGCCAGCTTGGGGGCATTGTCGTTGACATCGCGAAGGTGGACCGTGAGACTCAGCGGAGCACTGGCCGCATTGGTGCGCGCCTCCCTGGCGACCACTTGAAACTTGAAACGACCCGGCGCCGGGGGGTCGCGATCGAGGTTATCCTCGTTCACAATCAAAATGCCATCGGTGGTCACATTGAACGATGGGGTCGTCAGTTCGTATATATAGTCTGGTTTTGGATCGGAATCACTT